ACTACTGATGAATTACTGAGTAACTACTGACGAACTACTGATGAATTACTGAGTAACTACTGACGAACTACTGAGTAACTACTGAGTAACTACTGACAAACTACTGATGAATTACTGAGTAACTACTGACGAACTACTGAGTAACTACTGAGTAACTACTGACGAACTACTGAGTAACTACTGAGTAACTACTGACGAACTACTGAGGAATTACTGAGTAACTACTGACGAACTACTGAGTAACTACTGACGAACTATTCCATAGTTACTCAGTAGTTACAAAGGACACTAAAGAGGAACTACTCAGGGACTACAGAGTACTTAGTAGTTACTGAGTAGTTACCAAGTTGTTTCTAAGTAGTTATTGAGTACTTACTAAAGACACCAAAGAGGTACTGCGGAGTAACTACTGAGTAGTTAATTAGTAGTTACTAACGATACCAAAGGAGAACTACTGAGTACTTAGAAAAAACTGAGTTACTACTAAGTACCTATTAACTAGTTATTGGGGACACCATTTAAGAACTACTAAGTAGTTTAGCATTACTTACTCAGTAACTGACCAGTACTTTTTGGTTTTTGTGTACCCTGAAGTAAAGTGAAGCATCGTCCCAAGTAGTTACTGAGGAACTAGTCATTACTACTTGAGTAAGTAATGAGTGGTTCCTTAGTAACTACTTCACTTTACTTCAGGGTACACAAAAACAGTAAGTACTGGTCAGTTACTTAGTAAGTATTGACTATTTCCTCAGTACCTACTAGGGACGATGCTTCACTTTACTTCAGGGTACACAAAACTGTAAGTACTGGTCAGTTATGTAGTTAAAAATGATAAACTACTCAGTTTCTACTCAGTGTCCTTAGTAACTACTCAGTAGTTACTAAGTCATTTCTAAGTTTTGTGGGTTTGTGGGTTGGCAGGGGGGCGGGTGTCCCTGGCCAGAAGCTAATACTAGTTGGGGGCCATGGCATGGAAAAGGAATTTTGAGATTTTATCATAATATCATCAAAACATTCAGAGAATCTGGACAAATCCCTGCAAGTCAGCAGCAAGGCTGAGAACCAACATTGAGTGTCTGTGATGTTCAACCCCTCAGGCAGCACTGCATTAAAACCCAACATCATTCTGTAACATATTACCACAGTAACACTTCACAAAACCATTGTCAGTGAACACAGTTTGTCACTTCATCTATAAGTGCAAGTTAAAACTCTACCATGCAAAGCTAAAACGATACATGAACAACACCCAGAAATGTCGCCGGCTGCTCTGGACCCGAGCTCATCTGAGATGGACTGATGCAAAGTGGAAAAGTGTCCTGTGGTCTGACCAGTCCACGTTTCAGATTGTTCTTGGAAATCATAGACCTTGTGTCCTCCAGGTCAAGGAAAACCGTTTAAAGGACTGTTTAAATTGTTCTCTGAGCTAAGTTTAAAAAACCAGCCTCTCCGATGTATGGGGGTGGGTAATATCACATCTGTGAAGACACCATTAATGCTGAAAGCTACATACGGGTTTTGGAGCAACATATGCTCCCATCCAAGCCACGTCTTTTTAAAGAACGTCCTGCTGATTTCAGCAAGACAATGCCAAGCCACATTCTGCAGGTGATCCAACACCAGGGCTTCATAGTAAAAGAGTGCGGGTACTAGACTGGCCTGCCTGCAGTGCAGAACTGTCCCATTGAAAATGTGTGGAGCATTACGAACAGTAAAATATGACAACAGAGTTGTTCATCAAGCAAGAATGGGACAGAATTCCACAAACAAAGCTTCAACAATTAGTGATGTCTGTTTCCCAACACTTATTATGTTTCATCTGGTTTCATGTTTTTATTTTGACTTTATTCTGATTTTTCTGTCATGGTCCTCTGTTTTCTTCCTCCTGTCTGCCTTTGCTCCAGCCCTGCCCACTCACACCTGATCCTCATGTTTCTCCCCCAGGTGTTTCCTGTTTGTGCTCATTAGTYTCACCTTTATATTCTGTGTCTTGTCTTCACTTCCTCGTCGTGTCATTATGCTGTTTACAGCCTGTATGTTTGTTGCCTTGCCTTGCCTTGCCTTGCCTTGCCTTGCCTTGCCCGCCTTGCCTTGCCTTGCCTTGCCACAAGTGAGTTTTTGAGCTGCCCTGTCAGTATTTTTTGTTTTATTAAATCCTTATTTTTGCCTTTTTGAAGCTGCCTGCACCATGGATTCATTCTTTTCGCCAATTCGTAACAGAATGATCAGACCAACATCTGAACCCAACAGGCAGTTTTTCTCCTCTCCACCCACAACTTGTACATTGTCAGCTTCTCCCCTCTCAAAAATCCTGGGGCTCCTGGAGGGGATGCAGGGTGAGCTAGCTGGCTTTAGGGGACTCTTCGCTTCAGGGGTCCCATTGAAGCTAGTGGCGCCAGGGGTTTCTGAAGCCCACCCTCCCCACCCCTCTGATTTGGACCCTCCAGCTCTAGTTCCTGTGGGCCCTCCTGCTCTGGTTCCTGTGGGCCCTCCTGCTCTGGTTCCTGTGGGCCCTTCCAGCTCTGGCTCTGGTTTATGCTGGTCCTGCCCCGGCTTTGGTTCCTCCGGACCCTCCAGTTCTGGTTCCTGTGGGCTCTCCAGCTCTTGTTGGGCCTCCTGCTGAGTCCTCTGCTCCTGAGGATCCTGGTTCGGTGGCCGTCGCCTCCATGTCACCTGGGTCGGCTGACATCGCCTCCATGTCGCCTGGGTCAGCTGCCGTCGCCTCCATGTCTGCTCCTGCCTCCTCCCTTGGTTCCACGTCTGCTCCTGCCTCCTCCCTTGGCTCCATGTCTGCTCCTGCCTCCTCCCTTGGCTCCACGTCTGCTCCTGCCTCCTCCCTTGGCTCTACGTCTGCTCCTGCCTCCTCCCTTGGCTCCATGTCTGCTCCTGCCTCCTCCCTTGGCTCCACGTCTGCTCCTGCCTCCTCTCTTGGCTCCAAGTCTGCTCCTGCCTCCTCCCTTGGCTCCACATCTGCTCCTGCCTCCTCTCTTGGCTCCACGTCTGCTNGCTCCTGCCTCCTCTCTTGGCTCCACGTCTGCTCCTGCCTCCTCCCTTGGCTCCACGTCTGCTCCTGCCTCCTCCCTTGGCTCCACGTCTGCTCCTGCCTCCTCCCTTGGCTCCACGTCTGCTCTTGCCTCCTCCCTTGGCTCCACGTCTGCTCCTGCCTCCTCCTTTGCCTCAACATCTGCTCCTGCCTCCTCCTTTGCCTCAACGTCTGCTCCTGCCTCCTCTCTCTCGGCTCCTGCGGCCCTGTCTGGAGTGGGGGTGTCACCAGGTCGACCTCCTGACATTGGCTTCTACAGTTGGGAGGTTCATGGTCGGCCTCCTGAACTTTATTGGTTTCCGGGGCCTGTATGTTTTGGGACGTCGGGAGCCGTCCCTTAATGGGGGGCTATATTATGTTTCGTCTGGTTTCATGTTTTTATTTTGACTTTATCCTGATTTTTCTGTCATGTTCCTCTGTTTTCTTCCTCCTGTCTGCCTTTGCTCCAGCCCCACCCACTCACACCTGATCCTCATGGTTCTCCCCCAGGTTTTTCCTGTTTGTGCTCATCAGTCCCACCTTTACAGTATATTCTGTGTCTTGTCTTCACTTCCCCGTCAGGTCATTGTTTGGTTATGTTCTGTATTGTTTCTTGTCTTGCCTAGCCACTCAGAGTTTTTGAGCTGCCCAGTCAGCACCTCTTTTTGTTAAATACTTTGTTTTTAGGAACCTTGAAACTGCCTGCATCATGGGTTCATTCCTGCCTGAGATTCATAACACTTATTGAGTGTTGTTAAAAGGAAAAGTGATGGAACACAGTGGTAAACTGTCCCAACTCCACTGGAAAGTTTTGCAGGCATCAAATTCAAAATGAGTGAATATTTGCCAAAAAAACAAAGTTTATCCATTTGAACATTAAATATCTTGTCTTTGTAGTGAATTCAATTGAACATATGTTTAAAAGGATTTGCAAATATGTTTTTATTTATGTTTTGCATAACGTCCCAACTTCATTGGAAGTGGGATATTTGGGGTTTTACTGTCAGAATAATCTTGTAATTTAAAACTAACTGTGGTTTAAATGTTAAAATACTGTTCATACATGAACCTCTAGATTTTACTTTTTTTAAGATGACTAATAGTTTCGAGTCTTAGCCCTGTTTGGATTAGCTGTTAGCTCATCGCTCAACAAATAAAATATCATTGTTTCATAACCTTTTTACATTACCTCACATCAAAAGATCTGAACTAGTTCTTTAAAGTGAGAATCAACATTCTTTCAACAGGGACGGCTTCTAAAAAGTGTTTTTATGATTTCTCAACTCTATTTAAAAGCAAATATTGATTAAATCAGCAAAATGTGAGAGGTGATGATGTTTCTGCAGGTGTCTGAGTGAGTGTGAGAGTTCACTTGTCTGTAGTGTTAGCAAAATATCTTATGAACCACTGCATGGGTTTGAGCGAAACTCTGAAATTCATTATTGAAATAGTATTTGTTGCTTGAGAGGATTTACAACGTTTGATCAAAAACAGCTCCACATCCAAGCGTTCTCAGCAGAAAAATTATTTTTATAAAAGCCGACAGGGGATGTGCATTCCTTTAAGAAATTCTAGCCATTCAATTTTAACAAACTTTATTGTTCTTATCCGTCGCACTTTTTTCTTTGTCAGTGTTCCTGAACTGTTACTCAACTGGACAAAAATTCTTAACTTGCTGCAATAAGCTGGAGGAGTGCAGTTACAGTAACTCCCACTGCCTTGTACCAAATCCTGTACAGTCATTTTTTATTTTTATTTTTTCCATTTGAGACAGAGTGATGAGCACTTTAAATGGGAGGAATCCAGCCTTCAACGCAAAGTGACGCTGCAGTTGGATCAAATGCTGGAGTAAACTTGCCCAACAGGTCAGTGTTTCTGAAGCACCGGCCTTGAGAACAGAAGGTGAGGCAGATGTGAGTCTGAGAAGCAGAAAACAACGATTTGAGCAACGAAGGTCAAATCAGAAAAAGGTTTTGATTGAGCAGAGCGGAGGAGAAACTGCAGGGAAATCAGAAAACAGACAACAGGTGAGTGTTGGGATGAGGGGGAACAGGGAGAGCCCGTGTGTGTAGTCCAAACTAAAGGTAGTGAGCAGCACCCACTGCGTTGCCAAACATCTCCCTGAGGTTTTGGGCTTTGAAGAGAGCTCTGCCATGACCGTAGTGTGTTCATCACTCCTGCCTGGGTTATTAACTGCATCACTGCAGACCTGATGCAGTGATGAGCAGGTCTGTGCCTGCAGGACGGGTCCTCATTGTCTCCTGTCTGAGAGCGTGCATCCATGCATCCATATGTCTGCACGGCTGGGAGTGTGTGTGTGTGTGTGTGTGTGTGTGTGTGTGTGTGTGTGTGTGTGTGTGTG